AACCCTATTTTCTCCATAAGCCCTGTTATTTCTATTACTGATTTTCTATAACAGATATTTTACAAGAACACATTATCGGTTATATATAATATATATATATATATATATATATATATATATATATATATATATATATATATATATATATATATATATATATATATATATATATATATATATATTGATAAAATTACACAGGGAAAAGGAAAGCAATGGAGCACCTTAGCTTTCGTCTTTATTCAAAACATCTTCAGAGGCAACTGAATTACATGGACGGAGAGAGGTTTAAATACACAGGGTGACCTTATTAAACGTGAAGACAGACTGGAAAAGCATTGCATCTCAGAATCAAACAGCACAAGTACAATATCAGAACAGTTAGGACGAATGAATCCCTTATATACTTGAAGCAACTGCTCAGGAGTGAAGTAGCTATGGCATCTGTACAGTACAGCATTCCCAACTTTCAGGAGGCAGCTTTTGCAATGTTGAGGATGTGTGACTTCCATGATATATTAGAGGAAATGGTGAGGCCTAGCATATCTATTTTAGAATTTGGCGGAATGATAGCGTCCTGAAATGTGATTGGTGGGATATCATCTAAATTGGAAAGTGAAATTGGTAAATACTGTACAGTACTGAGTTTAGAAAGTAAAGACTTGTGCCATACCCTGTCAAATGATTTGGAGATGTCGAGGGCCACGACGAAAGCTTCCCCATAATCCCTAAGAGAGGATGATCAAAGATGGGTGTAGTAGGAGAGCAGTATATCTCGCCTGGCAAAAGCCATACTGGTGATCCGACAAATGAGAAAAGCGTTGAAGGTGACGGAGAAAATGAGAGTTTAAGATGGTTTCGAAAATCTTGAGAGGTATGAAGTTAAGAGCAATGGGGCAATGGTTAGAGGGATTAGAATGGTCACCCTTCTTTGGGGTGGGCTGAACCAAGGCATGCTTCCAAGAAGAAGGAAAAGTTTGATTTTGAGGCAAAGACAAAAGAGGCGAGCAAGCACAGGCCAGAATTGCAGCACACTCCCTCAGAACACAAGGGGGTATTCTGTCCAGGCCATGCGCCTTACTCACATCCAAACTGGATAACACACCAGCAACCCTATGAGTGGAGATTATAGGAAAGTGCATAGGTTCAGTAGGAGGAGCAGGGGGTAGGAGGGATAGGGTTGGAATCATCTAAGGTGGAATTAGGAGAGAATAAGGTGCCAAAAAGATTAGCTTTGTCAAGGGGAGAGTTGGCTATAGAGATATCAGGTCAGAAGAGAGAAGGAAAAGGAGTGCAGAAGTTATTACAGATGTTTTTGGTTGAGGACCAGAAGGATTTACTAGAGGAAGAATTAGTCAGGACAGCGGTCTTTCTTTTTATAAAATTCCGCTTGGCCTTATGAAGAATAGCCTTACAACGATTCCTAGAAGTAATGAAAGAGGAGTGGGTAATAGGAGGAGATAGTTTCATAGCTCGATATGCCCTGTCTCTCTCCCTGCATGCATGAGAGCAGGAGCGATCAAACCATATTTGTAAAGTGAAAGTTTTGGTAGAAGATGGGATAAATGCACTCATACCACCCTGTATAACCCCAGCAATGCTGTGAGCACATACCGAGGTGTCCCGAGTGGAGAAGCAAGACTCATCCCCAAGGAAAGTCGGTGAAGAATTCTCGCAAGGATTGCCAGTTTGCCCTCCGATAGTGCCATAGTTGACGTTTAGAGGGGGTGGGAAGGTGGTCGTGCCCAGTTTGATTTAATAGAAATAAGATTGTGATCAGAAGACCCTAAGGGGGCAGAAATTGAGTATGAATAGTGTGAGGGGTTAGAGGTAAAACAAAGATCAAGAATGTTAGCAAGTTCATCGTGTCGATCAGGAACGCGTGTAGGGTGTTAAATTATTTGTTCCAGATCAGTAAGTAAGGAAAAAGAGAGTGCCTCCGCTCCACCTGGGTCATCCCTTGCAGAGCCAAGCCCCACTTTGTGATGTACATTGAAATCCCCTAGGTAGAAGATCTCGGTGTTGGGGTGTGTGGACAGCAACAACTCATGGCAAGAAGTGAAATAGTCAAAGAGTTCGAAATAGTTGGTAGAGTTGGGAGAACAGTATAGGAAACAAAGAAAAATAGTCATAGTTGGTAGAGATATTTTGAGACCAGATGACATCATTGACATCATAAAGGGAAGATTCAAGATCCGTGAGTTGAGCTATAGGTGTACGTGTGTTGCAGTAGGTGCATACACCTCCCTTAGAACAGAAAGAGGTATAATGGTTGTAGTTGGAGACATGAAAAGGTTTGGGTGAAGCTGCTTTGGTCTGTTGAAGTTAAGATAATAGTAAGAGTCAGGGGAAGAGGTTAATAGATGGTGCTCCACAGAAGGAAAATTGGATCTCAGGCCGCGAATGTTGGAAAAATGAAGTGTGAAAGAAGCCGATCACCCAGCAATCGCGGTGGCATCAGTTGAGGCCCCAGTAGTTTGATGATGATCAGGTCGGCCCTGGGGTCCACAACCTTCCCAACCAGTGGGACACATCCGAGAAGGCCCCGCTTTAATATTAATATCAACTGACGTAGGAGAATAAAATAGAATGAATAGAGCAGATCAAGAGTGTGGAAGGTTATATTAGTTGTGTTGTCATTAGTAAGAGAGACATTTGAGACCCTGCAATTGTGTATAAATGTGGCAGAAAGTCAGATCCGCAACCTGGGACTTGGTCACAATTTTTGTGATGCCATATGGCAGGAGGGTCTACCATTAGGCAACACATTATGCTTCCAATATCTTCCCAGGTGGTAGTACCTCCCTGTTTGGTAGCTGCCTACTACTTTTTGTCTGGGACAGTTTTTCTGGTCTGTTGACTGACTGGTGTGGTGGTGCTAACTCCCACTCCTACGGTGCCCCAGTAGGGATTTTAGTCTTGTGTTTGGACTAACGTCTCTTGGCTTATTTTGTGATTGTAGCCTGGTCTAGGAAGAGGCCTAACCCTGGGACTCCAGGTGTTATAAGACCCGCCAAACCCCCCCACGTGGGCAATTTAAGTAAAAAATATATATTTTTTTAATCCAATGTCACTTTATATATGGGTTAATCAATATAAGAAAAATACTAAAAGAATGTACCTGTACTCATGTACTTACATTCAAATTTCATTGCAGCTTGGTGGGAGAGTTGTCTGGAGTGTTGATGAAGCTACTGCACACAACCCACAGCGAGCGCGAAGTGCATTTGGCTCATTTGCAACACATGGTTCTTACTTGAAGGCCCTTTTATATCATATTTCCATCTTAAAGCTATTACAAAACACAAAATCCTTCTATTTTCCTCAAAAGAAGTGTAAAATACTGAACAATAGGAAAATTTAGGGAGCACAAAACTCATCAGTATTTTCTTATCACTATTTTCAAATATATACACTATTTACATGCACTTCTACTGAATTTAATACTTCTTGATCGAATGGAAGTCTTTGTAACATAGATTGCACAAAGCAGCTCAACACTCCTTGCACCAAGTCGCCATGTCCTTACACTGTGGTTCACGGTGGCTGACAGGTTGGGGAGGGGAGAGAGCACCTACCACTGTCCTTACTGCCTCAGCAAACTGGACATCATCTGGGTTCTGTTACCTCCCCATCATTGTCTTGATCACCCAATACTATATCAATGCCACTCAAATTAAGCAAAGCAACTCGTGATGAAAAGCACTACTGTCAAGCAAATGCCTTCACTTGCATTACAGTGTGGAGGAGTGAGGTGGGTCATAAGAAAGGTCTATGGACGTGCATCCCTCACAATATCTGGCGGGTAGCTGTCCATGAGGCACGAGTCTTGAGACAAATACACGCAAGTTGAGTTGCCAATTACACAAGTATCCCATACAAAGTATTTCCTCCCGCCTGGATATTCAAAACATGCCACAAAAATTAAGAACGTTCAGGAACGTCACCCAGGGTTTAAGGGTTAAGGTTACTTGACCTCACACTCATCTTCCAAGGAAAAGGAAGGGGCTGGGGCAGTAGCTGGGTCCTCGGTGGAGTATGTCAAGTGAATCGGCTGACCTGGGCAGTAGGTAGTGGGCAGCTATCAAACAGGGAGGTACTACCGCCTGGGAAGATATTGGCAGCATAATGTGTTGTCTAATGGTAGACCCTGCTGCCATGTGTGACCAAGTCCCAGGTTGCTGGTCTGACTTTCTGCCTCATTTACACACAATTGCAGGGTCTCAATTGTTTCTCTTACTTGGACAACACAACATATATAATGTATATAATTTCTCACTCTTGATTTATTTTTTCGATTTTGTATTTATTTATGGTAAACATGGTTTATACTGGTCAGGTAGTGGAGCTGAGGCCCTTCAATGTCATATTTAGAATTGTGATGGTCTGGTTATCTGGAGGTTTTAAGGTTGCATTTCAATAGTAGGAATCAAAGGTGTAAATGTTTTCTTATGTTGGACTTTGATGCCATGGATTATACAGAACCTCTAAGTCTGGATGGTGTTTTAATTCTTCAGGTGACTTTGAATTTTATTTTATTGTTTTTTTTATACTAGATAGTCACAGTGGTAAAAGGAAGTGTACTACTGTACACCACCGACATACATAAAGATATATCCACCTGAGTTCATTGTTCTGTTCTTGTCTCTCTTATGTGGGACACAAGCTTTGAAAGTTTGAGGGAGTTTATTTATTTATTAATTTTTTCAATTTTTAACTCAACAGCTGTGTAATGTAATAAAGCTGGGTTTGTATAACTCTCTTCCTTTATGGCAAATATTGGGGAGACTGTTCAGTGTTCACCCTAACTTCACAACTCTTTTGTACTAAGGAAGACACACTGCTAGGCTTGGGAACACAGGGAAGACCTCAGCCTTAGGACCTTTGGCTGACATATACATGAGTGTGTCTGTCTCTGGGGTCAGATTTTACTCGGATTTCAGGATCAGCCCCTCATTTTTCCATGATTTCGAAATATATTGTTAATATTTTTTATCTTTCAGATATCACTAGTGCTGGCAAGTAATTTGGAAGGGTGAAGGAGCCGTAATGAATGTGAAGTGACTCCACTGCCCCCTCAGCAGTAAGAGCACAAACTACACCTGGACAAGTGCTAACACACCTTTGATAATCCAGCAGAGATGGCACTGCAGATGAATGTGTCGGGCATACGCCGCAATTTGAAAAATATTGCCCATAATTACACAGATGCACAGGTAAGCCTGATTTCACAATCATCATATTGGACTAACTGGTAGAAAATATCACTATTATTCATACTACTGTACAGTACAGTGAAGCCTCTATTTAACGGACTACAAGTAATATCTCCTTTAGCCGGAATCCCTCTTGAACAGAGCTCTCCGATAACCGGAATTGAAATTTTCTCGGAAAATTACAAGAAGATTTTCCCAGTACCTGTACCTGAAAATTCCAGGGATGGGGGAGGTCTTTCCGGGTTTGAGAGATGAAAGCCGCCAGGTTCATTTTCCGGATATTCAGAGAAAAAAATTCCAGTACCCAGAAAATTCCGAGGGTGAGGGATTTTTTATACGGCTTTGAGAGAGTCGTCTTGTTCCCCGGAAATTTCTCAATCCTGGAAGTGTTCTGCACCAATTGTTCTGGCTAACGGAGATATCACCTGTACTGGTATATGGATTAAGAAGACTGTTGTATGGAGGTTTTACTGTACTATGGTAGACTTAATTTTTATGTTGTTAATTACAGTAATTGTACTGTATTTATACACATTTCTGTATTTTGTAAGTTAGATTTATTTGTATTACCCTAAATTCTTGTGGCTTCTATGGATCTGAGAGACCAGTTCTACTGTCAGTATCTGCAGGTCTGTACAATTCGGGGTTTCAGTTTTAATGGTATAAAACAATGATGCTGCCATTATTCTTGATTTATGTTGTGGTCTTGTAGGGAATCAAAATAGCCAGTAGCGGGGATGAAATTCAGAAGAAAACATTGAAAACCTCCCAAATTTTGAAGAAAAAATAATTATACAGGCAGTGCCCGAGTTACAAGTGAGTTAAGTTCGTGGTCCCTTTTTGTAATTTGGAGCAGTGTTAATTCCATAGATTATATTTTAGGTTAAAGCACAACCCTGCCCACACAAAACAACAATAATATCCCATGTATATAACAGTGATGTTCAACAATACAATATAAAGTACATAATGTAAAAAAAATGGATTTTAGTTGCAGATTTTTGGATGAATACTGTACAGGAGTACTGTATATTGGAGGAATCCCGTTTGTAACTCAGAACATATGGGATTAATTCCAATAGAAACCGGCCCGACCCCCAAACTCCACTTTTTGAAGGCACATACCTATGTTGTAGTAAAAATAACATCTTAATTTTATGATGGTACATGCACACAATTAATACTTAAGAGAAATAGAGAAATACAGTCGCCAAGTTAATGTCCATTCAAATAATGGACTCAACTCCCCCTCTCACACTACACTGCCGGCTCTTCCCTCTCAGAGAAATTTTTTGGGGAAAACCACTAAATTTTAATAAATAATACCTCAAACTAAAGTTAGGATAATACAATTGACATTGCTGGATTCCTTGTAAGACCAGGAATATTTTGAATATAAATGTCATATATTTTGCACAAAAGATAACATAGTTACCTAGAGAAAAAATTTTATCTAAAATTTGTATGTTTAATGCAAAATATATGATGTTTATATTCAAAATGATCACCAAATTATAAGAATTCCAGCAATGTAAATTATATTCTGACCGGGTAATTTGTATGAATTTTATGAGCTAAAACAAATATCTTCAGTTAATAAAAAAAAAAATAATCTTCACGACACTATCTGTCAATCAAAGTACCCCACCTTGCCTCCCCCCCTCTTCCAACCGCGCGGTCAGTCCCAACCCTCCCCCCCACCCCCCACCAATCCTCCCTTCCAGGGTTTTTAACATTTAGTATTAAATAATACCTCAGATTAAAGTTAGGATAATATAATTGACATTGCTGGATTCCTTGTAAGACCAGGAATATTTTGAATATAAATGTCATATATTTTGCACAAAAGATAACATAGTTAATTTGAGAAAAAATTTTATCTAAAATTTGTATGTCTAATGCAAAATATATGATGTTTATATTCAAAATGATCATCAAATTATAAGAATTCCAGCAATGTAAATTATATTCAGACCGGGTAATTTGTATGAATTTTATGAGCTAAAACAAATATCTTCAGTTAATAAAAAAAAATAATAATTCTTCACAGGGTAACAGATGGTCGGTCGGTCCCTCCCTCCCCCCCACCCCCCACCAACCGTCCCAAGGAGATGTGTGGGATAACCACTAAATTTTAATAAATAATACCTCAAACTAAAGTTAGGATAATATAATTGACATTGCTGGATTCCTTGTAAGACCAGGAATATTTTGAATATAAATGTCATATATTTTGCACAAAAGATAACATAGTTACTCTGAGAAAAATTTTTATCTAAAATTTGTATGTCTAATGCAAAATATATGATGTTTATATTCAAAATGATCACCAAATTATAAGAATTCCAGCAATGTAAATTATATTCTGGCCGGGTAATTTGTATGAATTTTATGAGCTAAAACAGGCAGTCAGGCAGGGTGGCGGGTGGGGCAAATCTAAAAATAGCGTCTCGAGCCGGACACACCGCGTATATGTGGAAAAAATCCGTGTTAAGTGAAAGTTCAGATCTGGCGAGGCACCGCGTATATGAAAAAATGCGTTAAGTGAAACCGCGTTAGGCGGGGTAATACTGTATATATATATATATATATATATATATATATATATATATATATATATATATATATATATATATATATATATATATATATATATATATATATATATATATATATATATATATATATATATATATATATATATATATATATATATATATATATATATATATATATATATATATATATATATATATATATATATATATATATATATATATATATATATATATATATATATATATATATATATATATATATATATATATATATATATATATATATATATATATATATATATATATATATATATATATATATAGTGATACCCCGATTTACGCGGTCAATCGAACCCACGGGGTACCGCGTAAAACGAAAACCGTGTAAATGGAATAACAGAACATATGGGATTAATTCCAATAGAGACTGGCCCGACCCCCAAACTCCACTTTTTCAAACACAATACCTACGTTGTAGTACAAATAACATCTTAATCTAATGATGGTGTGCACACAATTAATAATTAAGAGAAATATCAATAATATTAGGTTTTTTAACATTTACATTAGTAGAAAAGATGGCTGGGCACACGGGGATGGGGGGTTGGTTCCGAGGCAGAGGGCAGATGGCCCTCACCTGTATCACTTGTATCAATTGTATCACTATCCACCACAAAGGCTTGCAGGGCCTCTTTGTCAAACCCCTCTAAGTCCATATCCTCACTATCATTGACTTGGGCCGGCTGTGGTGGGTGGCGGGTGAAGAACTCGGTAATGTTTTGATGACTGGGCGACCTTGTGCGCATCCTGCCCGCGCTGCTTCCCGTGTATATGAGTAGATGCACCGTGTAAAATGAAAGTTCGGTTCTGGCGAGGTACGTGTAGGAATAGGATATATATATATATATATATATATATATATATATATATATATATATATATATATATATATATATATATATATATATATATATATATATATATATATATATATATATATATATATATATATATATATATATATATATATATATATATATATATATATATATATATATATATATATATATATATATGCAAGTAAATCACTGTAGGTGCGCGTGATCTAGGTATATGCTGATAACCACAAGGAAAGAAGAAAACACGAAGTTCCCAAGCGCTTTCGTGTAATTCACATCTTCAGGGGTGAGTACAGACTAGAGAGAGAAATACAAATCAAGGTGTATATATACAGAGGAGGGTGAGACCAGGTCCACAATGGTCAGGTATTAGGTAATGACCCTACTAATCTTTAAATAGCACACAATGGTTGGTGGTCAGGTCAGATGGTCAGGTGACCCGGCCTTCTCACCTGGTCACAAATCTTCTTAATTACAAAATTGTCCAGCTTGTACATGCCGTTACTCAAATTCATGTTGAATGCTTCGGTATGTTTAATAAGACTAGATTCTATGATGTTCCTACTATAAATTGAATTGCATGGTAATATTGAGGAGGCATTATCCCAGTCAATGCAATGCTTGTTATCCCTCAAATGAACAAACAGAGCATTGGATTCCTGGCCTGTCCTAACACTGTATTTGTGTTGTTTAATTCTAGTTGCAAGATCTTTACCTGTCTGGCCTAAGTAAAACATATTACATTCCTTGCAAGGAACTTTATAAATGCAACCAATTGTGTTGTTGGGGGAGTTCTTGATTAACATTTGTTTAACAGTGCATGAGTTTTTAAATGCCACATTGACGTTCCAGGTTTTTAGTTGTGAAGGAATGTGTGAGAAATTTTTGTGAAATGGTAATATTAAGATATTCTTATGGTCATGGGTGGGCTTGGGATCAGTTCTATAAAAAGTTTTCTTAGTAATGTTTAGGCATTTGTCTATGAAAGATCTAGGCAACTAGAATTAAACAACACAAATACAGTGTTAGGACAGGCCAGGAATCCAATGCTCTGTTTGTTCATTTGAGGGATAACAAGCATTGCATTGACTGGGATAATGCCTCCTCAATATTACCATGTAATTCAATTTATAGTAGGAACATCATAGAATCTAGTCTTATTAAACATACCGAAGCATTCAACATGAATTTGAGTAACGGCATATACAAGCTGGACAATTTTGTAATTAAGAAGATTTGTGACCAGGTGAGAAGGCTGGGTCACCTGACCATCTGACCTGACCACCAACCGTTGTGTGCTATTTAAAGATTAGTAGGGTCATTACCTAATACCTGACCATTGTGGACCTGGTCTCACCCTCCTCTGTATATATACACCTTGATTTGTATTTCTCTCTCTAGTCTGTACTCACCCCTGAAGATGTGAATTACACGAAAGCGCTTGGGAACTTTGTGTTTTCATTTCTTTCCTTGTGGTTATCAGCATATATATATACAGTACTGTATTTATAAAACGATCAATTTGGTAATAATATGAGGACCCTCTTATTAATAATGGTTTCTCCGTTTAGTAATATATATATATATATATATATATATATATATATATATATATATATATATATATATATATATATATATATATATATATATATATATATATATATATATATATATATATATATATATATATTTTATAAATCCAATCATTATGTGGGAGACCGCACGAGAACAGCAGCTGCAACTGCTCCGTCTCCTCTCACGCATATTTCCCTAATGTACAGCATATCAGCACCCTCAGCCAGAGAGAGAGGGAGAGGCATTTAATTAATTAAGACTGAAAAGGCAGAGGAACTTTTCTCTCTGATACACTTTGTGTACACGTATATTAACTATTCTTCACTATAAGGCAGAATATTTGACTTAGAAATATGCAACTTGACAGCTGTCAGCGTGCAAGGTGGGCCGTGATTGGCTTTACCGCTGGTTGGGCTGATTGGGTGAGGGTGGTGGTGCTGTGGGCGTATACCTTTGAGAAATATACCTCCCAGACTTGCCACCCGCTGAGTAACAACATGGCATCCGGTTGGCCGAACTCTATCTATCTACGGCTCTGGTCTGACCACGGTGTTGAGAGCAATGGCTCCAGTTTCGCGTGCAACGAAAGCTGCTTTGTGAGCGCTCCATTCACGAAAGCACAGAGACACGATATCACCAACAGTGTGTCTCATCTCAACTCCCTCCCCCATCCAATGCCCCCGTGTCTTAAGTATCCACCGTCTGATCTTACGGTTTTGTAGATACCGCCACCAACTACTCTGAAGGGGCCATTGATTTCGTTTTTTATGTGTTTGTATGCGTGGTTTTGTGTGTGTGTGTGTGTGTGTGTGTGTGTGAGTGACGTTCTTCATCAAGTAGTTACCCGAGTCTTACCTCTGTACTTCATCCAACACATCGTACATATTTTAATTCTTGCTCTTATGGACAACCTCTCCCTCCCACCACCCGCAACCCTCATCTGGTTTGTCTCCAGGTGAATTAGGTGAAGTTATTAGGAGTCATTTCATTGTGGTACTCAACCCAGCTTCCTGCACTCTCTTATGTCGAGTCCGAGTGAATAATGAGGAAAGGAGATGATGAAATATGATGAAAAATGATAAAATAAGATGAATAATGATGAAATATGATGAATGATGATGAAATAAGATGAATAATGATGAAATAAGATGAATAATGATGAAATAAGATGAATAATGATGAAATATGATGAATAATGATGAAATATGATGAATAATGATGAAATAAGATGAATGATGATGAAATAAGATGAATAATGATGAAATAAGATGAATAATGATGAAATAAGATGAATAGTGATGGAATAAGAACAACCTCTTTATTTATTGACATATTGCTACTAAGATAATTATGTTAATTTCTTTGCGATTTACAACTATTTAAACTTAGTAAATTATTGTTATGTTTGTGAAGGTAATTTGATATACTGGTAATATATATATATATTTTTTATTACGTTGACCTTAAATGGAAACAAAGGGGGAAAGAGAATATCAGTTGCTTTTTTGGTTTGGTTTTGTTAGAAATGTGACGTAGCGGTGTGTGTCTGTGTGTGTGTGACTCCCTGGCCGCTTGTCCCCATGACCTATCTCTCATGGCTGCATTACGTT